TGTTGACATGAGCAGCAATGTCGAACCATATGAATGCAAAATAAAGTTGCTATTCTAACTTGCCTGACTTGTAATAAGTCCACTGAGTTGAATTACAGTTATGCTTGGGCAACATCATAACAACAAAAAAATGACCGCTTTAAATAGTGTCACCTTTCTGTTTTGTGGCGCATCAATTGAAATATAAGTCCATGAATATGCACACATACTATTTCTCACATGTGCCCTAAACAGATACGAAACCTCGAGGCTGCGAAGTGAGTCCTTCCACGGTTTACGATCCACCCAACATGAACAAAGACTTCGCGAAAATAGGATGATCAACGCCAAAAAGTCCACGCCGATCCGCTTCCGAACCATGCTCATCATGGTGTTTAGCCACTTGGAAATATCCACCGCTTCCTCTCTCCTCGATTCGAGGAGTGGACTTCGATAGTAGGATTTCGAACGATGGTTGGCAGCTCTTAGGCCAATAGTTTGAAGTATGGATGACTTCACTTCCATTCCATCCTGCTGATGCAATGTGGGCACTACGCAGCAAAAAAGCAAATGTGTAACTTCAAGAGCTGCGATTCTGGTGTTTGCAAGTGCAGAGGTTTGCTTGTGAAGGGAACGGCAAGCTCTGCTCCCTCTTCCAGCGTTGTTGAGCAGGCCACGGTTGTTCAACGCAATTAGCGCAGAATGATTTTGCGTCTTGGTGCCTAACTTCGCTTGATCTTTGGTAGAAGGTTTCTACAGCTCTTTTGCACCTTTCTTCAAACCAACGCTTGGATTTGGAACCTGGATTTGGTCAGAACCTAGATTAAAACCTGGGTGAACCTGCGTTGAAACTGGATTGGAAACCTAAATTAACTGCGTTAAACCTGCATTGGCAGTTTTCAAATCTGTCAAAAATCTTGAATCTGTCCCTAAATTCATGTTTCGTCCCCTTAAGTAATTTCGTGTGGCATCTGCTTTTGTGTTGAAGGCGTTCACGTTCTTTTGTCAACTTTTGCTTTGTTTGTTTCGATTTGGTGTGCTTGCATTTTCAGTCCTTCTATCTAGCTGATGCAATGTGGGCCACGCAGCAAAAAACAAATGTGTAACTTCATGCAGCACTCGTTCCTGTAGTCCCGATCATCGCACTGTTGTCGGACACAGGCTGTGAGTGGTCGCGGCACTAGAAGCTTGAATGAGGGTTCTTGCGCAGCAGGAATACTTTCTTCTCAGACTGAAGCACTGTTTCCACTCTTAGTTGTCTTGGTGCCGGAAGTGTTGAAGCTTGGATTTTTTTTAACGAGGACACTTGAAGGAGGAGCTGAACCGGGTAGCCCTCTATGCCACTGTGAGCTGCGACCGCTGAAGCCTTACAGAGCGAGGGAACGCGATTCACGGACCATCGTTCGTAAAACTCCTGGGCAGTCTGTTGTCCTCGTGGGGGAGGGCTTGATATCCCAAGCTTGGCCAGTCCAAAGGCACTGTACAGCTCCTCCCATCGCACGTGGGTGTGATGAAGGACAGAGTGGAGTTCCAATGCCGCCGGAAACCCCACCAATGAGTGGGGGAGGCGATGATCAATGGGCCCGTGGGTCGCGTGCTGCCCGCCGTAAGCCGCTGGTGAGCATCCTCTCCGGTCATGGTAAAGCGGCCAGCCCTGTCGATAATGCAGATGTCGACTGCACCTGTAGTGCCAGCGCAGACTGTAGTGGTGAAGAGGTCCACAAATGCACCCAATTCATTGTGATGGTCATAGAAGAAGGAGAAGAGGGATGCAGCCTGCGCCTCCGTGGTAAGGTGTCCCGGCGGGGAAGCTCTGGCAGCCAACCCGAGATAAACTCCGCGAGGGATGTACCTTCCGCCACCACTCGGTGCGCGTTACCCGTGTCCGCGTTGGCGGGGCGAGCATTGCTGAGGCCAAGACCATGCTTGAGGGCGTCAAAAACCCGGGTGGTGGGTGTGACTACCGTGACTTTCCGTCCAGCCTGCACTGCGAAACGATGCCCGCAGACGTTGTAAGCGAATACCAGGAGGACACAAAGCAATTCCATCAAGCCCTCTGGGTGCATGTCCGAGGATGTATGCCGCGGTAATCGGACGAAGTACACTCCTGGCTGGTGAGTGCCGTCCGCCGCTACCCGTTGAAGCCGCCTCGCCGCGGTGTCCGCAGCTAGCTCACCGATGGTGATCGGGCACGGAGTGGCATCGGAAACCCTGTGCATACTGATGGATTGAGGGTAACGAACGGCCGTGATTAGTAGATAAAGGTCAGCCAGCAGCCTGGTGGAGGCGACCAGGGCTAGATTCAGGCAAACCCCATTGATAGGGGCCAAGCCTTCAGCTTGCATAGCGGTATTGGCCGGCGCCAGTATTGCGCCGACAGCTGACAGACGATTGAGATAGCACAACATCGCCTCGCTATGGGACTCCGACTGGTGGAGGAAGTCCACCGCAATAGCCGCTGGCGTGAGCCGGTCGGGGTGAGGGCACACTCGGTCACCTATGCTGGTGATGCCTGAATAAGGGATGAAGTATTTCATCCCTTGTCGGGTGACCCGACACCCTCGTAGCTCCTGCAGATCCTCATCGATCCTCAATGCCAAAGAGGCACTCGGACAACTCACGACACACGGTTATGGTGGCTCCCGTCGGCGGCTCGGCGCCCTGATGGCCGTCATGCCGGTGTCCTAAGCTAGTCCACCGGATGGTGTGAAGCGGCCCCTGCGGTGTAGACTGAACCAAACCCCGGGGAGACTGGCTGCGGGGCTAGTTGGGCGACGCCGCGGATGCCGACTGGCTTGGCAATGAGTCGTGCCAGGGTGCGGACTTGGACCTCGCCTTCACCGCCACCAGCGGGTTGGCGTGGGTCCCCGGTGCGGATGACGAGCTGGCCGGCAGTGTTCGCAAGGATGGCCGCCGAGGCGGGCTGTCCCTCCTGTTGCCCCTCGTCAATAACAATGACATGTGCACTGGCTAGGTAGGTTTTCACCTCGCTCTAGTCTAGGAGGCATAACGAAGTTGCAGCGCGGCAGAGCCCTGCGTGAGCAGCAACATGTGAGCACTGCCAACTGAGGGGGATGTGAGACGGGTGTTGCGCCTCGTGGATCCTGGCTGAGTGGCAATCTCTCCTAAGTCGGCCGCTTTGTGTTCAGCAGCGTCGGTGAAAGGCACATGATCAAATAAAGGGTCGATCATTTCGGCATCGCCAGACAGCCTACGCACAACGACAAGTGGGCGCAGCCATTGTGGGGCATCGACCGACAGGTTGGAGGCAATACGGACAACAGCAATGAGCGCAGAATGCTGCTGCGCCGTCCAGAATACCGTTTGCTCCAGAACAGCATCCAGACAGACCAGGGCGCACCACAGAGAGAAAGTTTTGGATGAGCCAGCACAGCCCAGGATGCTGAGAGAGCTGCGTCCTTGTGCCCGAGCGGCTAGAATGGCTGTGATGTGTCCGCTCAGGAGGCCATCCGGGCTGTTCAGAAGCTCAGCAATGTGGCGACAAAAGGACTGTCCCATCAGGGCAGCCAGCGCGTGCAGCTCTTCTGGGATCAGCGATGCCGGGAGACGCCAATTGCTGCAGAACGGCTCCCGAGGGTTGCAGCGCCTGGCTACTGGGTGGAGGGCAATGATGCGCTGTTTGAGCCGCACAAAGTCGGCCGGCGTGAGGTCAGGGGCAGGTGGGAATTGAGGGGCTCTGGCAGCCGACTCCACTGCCTGCAAGAAGGACAGCGCGAGATGCACTTCCGAGGCGAAGTGGCTCCGAGGCCGTGGCGCAGGTAAGGTGCACGGGCGCACGGGCATGCCAATGGCCAGTGGGACACGTGCCTCAGGCATTTTGAGTACTTGCAGGAATACATCGAGAGCGCCACCAACCTTAATGCAAGACAGACTTTGGAGGGAAAGGCCCCAGCTGCAGTCCTGGCCAGGTTGAGGGGCGGCCCCGAGAAAAGATGGCCACTGCCGGATGAGCAAGAGCGCGGCCGTGGGGTTAAGGCGGTTTTGACGCCGTTCGATCTTGCGTTGTTCGCGGGTTTTTCCTTTGAGCCGGTCAGGAACTATCAAGTACCTTGAAGTGTGCCGTCCTTTGCACATTGGTTTCTTGGGTGGTAACAAACTTTGCGCTCCAACGTCCTTTTTTGTAACCCCGCATCGTAGTGCTTTTGAACGTTTCCGTGGAGGCATAAAAACATGTGTGATGTCGTTTGCACGGTTCCCAGAGCTTCCAAAGATGTTTAAATAAGGAAACCATGCTTAAGTATATAATTAATCAACATAAAAATTGTTTAATTAAGCTGTAAAACCTTAATTAAACAATGTTTCTTGTTAAAATTGTTTAAATAAACACTTTTACTTGTTTAATTAAGCAATACAATGCTTAATTAAACAATCATTGCTTAAATGTTGTTGAAAATAACACATCTTAATTAAGCATGGTATTTCTTCTTGCAAGATCGATCATTTTTGCTACATGGGCCGATCGATGAATCGTTGAGCATGATGTAATGTTTGTCATGGATTTTTTGGGAGTTGCGGCAATGTTTTTTGCGAGAACCGAACAATTGTGCGGTGTGTGCATGCATGCTTGCAGGTGATCATCGTAAGCAGCTTGCAGTGCAGTGTGCGTGGAACATGCAGCAGCAGATTATAATGATCCATGTTGCAGCTTCCCTAAATTTTAACCAGTTTTGCAGTATATACAGAGTTTAGATCCGGGCAGCATGGAGTTCGATTTGAAAAGCAGTCCGAGGGCGAAGAACACGGCTACAGCGAAGGACATTTGCGCCTGCTTCGTGATTCATTTCAAGAACCGACCTATCGATATAGCATCTTTCAGAGAGGCAGATACAAAAGTCGTGCAAGAGCATGAGGCCTTGATCCAAGAAATCGTGGAAAAAACTTTGAGGCCGACAGTGAATGTCCTGAGGGATGGCATTATGCAGGCCTTTGAGATAAGCAAAGACGATGCACAGGAAATTGCCAAGAAGATCTGCTCCTGCTTCGTTCTTGCTCGAAGCAAGATGCAGAGCACCTCCACTGGCAAGAAATTGGAGCCAGCGCTCTGGAGGCTTGTGCAGAGGCTTAAGAGTTTGTCCGACACTTGCAATTCTTCGCCGAAAGCACCTAGTTCGAAGGCCAGTTCTCACGAAGTTCCATCGACATCCCGGGCTTCCAACTTGAAGAAGAGGTTGTTGTTCTCTCCTGAGAGGAGAGTGAGACGCAAGACGGCTGCACGTCCCGAGTCCGCCAAAGAGATTTTGTCGGTTTATGGACTTAATCGGACAGATGCAGAGGAGGAGGTTAAAGATGCAGACGTCGAGCTTGCAGACGAAGCTGGCGATGTTGATGACTTTGGTGTTATTCATGACAGCCAAAGCGAAATTGAAATCTGCTCGTCGGAAAATGAGGAGCCGGCCGCAGCGAAGACCAAAGGACGAGCAAAGAAGGCTTATTTTGACCCTGCGGCTGGATGCTACATCAGACTCAATCCAGATGGCCAAGAAGTGAGAGGAGAACTTTCAGAGGGACCTGAGGGGTTCTGCATGGTTCGCTTTCCATCTGAAATGCCATTCCAATCGGAGGTGCCGAATTTATGGCTTGCTCAGATGAATGAAGGCAAAAAAGGCCCGAAGCTGAAACGAGCTCGTGGGAAAGCTAAAGCCAAAGCGAAGGGCAAGTGTAAGCAGTCGTCCGCCCCGGAGGAGCAGGAAGCACCGGATTCCGAAGCAGCTCCTGCTGAGGAGTCTCCTGATGCAGCAAGCGATTCTGGTCCTGACAAAAAGCTCGAGGCGGCGAGGCCTGAAAATTCTGCAGCTAGTGATGCACTCCTGTTCCAAGGCTATGATATCACAGGAATGCCAGAGGAGGCTCAGCCACCGGCCGATGCTTCGGGCAAGCACTCTTACACTGTTCGACTGCCGGACGGGATCGCCATTGACGTCCTTGTGAGGAACAAGGCTTTCTGGATCAAGAAGCCAACAGAATGCCGATCCCAGTACTCCTGGTCGCAGTACGACAATTTAGCAGATGCTTGGAGTGCCTGCCTTAGAATTTGCCGGGATTCTTTGGCAGACAAGCAGAATAAGGCTGAGTCGGTTAAAACCCTGACCTGAATCGTGCGGGTGGCGGGGATCCCTCGCGATCGAGCTATAGGATTGTGTATATCAGCGATTGTACAGGTGGATGGAATTGCAAAGATCGACATGCTGCATGCATGCAGGATTGGACGAAAAATATTTTTGTCAGAAGTTTTGCAGTTTCGCTTAGTTTGCTTAAGTCACTAGTGCAAGCAAGTGCAGAGATTTTGACGAATCATGTTGCTGGTGCACACACATGCTTGACTTGATGTTGCTGCAGCCGTTTTTGCATGAGTGTTTTCGTTGTTGCTTTGTCAAGTCCGGGCCTCAGAGTGCTAGCTTAAGTTCCGAAGACACATGTTGAGATCTGGACATGTGCTCTGGCAGTGCAGGTGTTAGGTTGTTTTTTGCTGACTGCATGCCAGCAGTTCAGAAGTCCAAGCATGAGCTCCTTGGGAGGAGCTAGGTTAAAGAATCTTGGCTGTGCTTGCAGGTCTGGCGGCAGCAGCTGCGATCCCGGTCGATCTTCAAATTCAGATCGAGGTGCGACGGCTTGTGTTTGCATTTCTGTGCAGCAGTCTTAATTGCAGTGCATGCTAGCTCCTTGGTAGGAGCATGTGCATGTTTTGAGATGCATGTGAGATCTAGATCTGCTGGCGATCGCTGTTTGCAGGGCATACATGTGCTGAAAACTCCTTGGTAGGAGGTAGCAGTCAGGATTCGAGTATTGCGCAGCTGCGATTGCTCCGAGCAGTTTTTTTGAGCTTAGCTGTTAATTCAGCTATGTCGCAGCGCTATGCACCGGAAGCCCTGCAGGACATTCGTATGTGTCCGAAATGCGGGACCCGGAGCTATCTCAGGAAGCGGGTGTGCATCAACATCTTATGCCAGTGGTATTACATGCGTCAGGAGCCCAATACCAATCTTTGGGCACGTGGCCCCATTCAGAGTTCAGATCCCCAGACTGCATCCTCGGGGTCCCTGGGCTCTTCGAGCAAACGATCCTGGAGCTGGACCTCGTGGAAGAACAGCGGCTACGCTGACGGCGTATATCAGAACAAGCTTGAGCAACAACTCCAAGACGTCCTCGAGGAGGAGGAATCGGACCCGGAGGAGCCGGAGGAGCCGGAGGAGCCGGAGGTTCAGGTTGTGGCTGCTCGGGAAGGCGACGGGCCACGGATCGAGGAGGTCGTGTCCAGCGACGAAGAGGCGAATGCCTTCATCTTCGGTTTGGAGGAGAAAAACCAAGTGAGCTCTTTTTCCGAGTATGAGGACGCCCGCCATGCATGGGAAAGCACTTCCCAGGAGCACAAGGCGGGGCATGCTCTGAGGTCAGCCATAAAGATGGAGAAGGAGCATAGCTATGGCTCGGAGAAGGCTGCGTCGGCAGCCCAAGTGGCCCTTGAGGAGGGCCAAAAGTGGCAGAGGCTTCAGGCAAAGGGTGCCGCCTCCGAAAAATATCAGGCTGCAGTGCAAAAACGGCGCTTTGTGCCTGTGAAAGCGGAGCCGCTGGTGCAGGATGACCCCTACATGCAAGCTCCTGGGGAGGAGCCGGCGATGGAAAGCACCGGGGCCACGGAGCAAGGTGACACTGCTGAACAAAGCACGGCTGCGAATGAGCAAAGTACCCGTGAGGATACTTGGGGCTATGGCGATTATTCAAGCAGCTATGGCCGTGGTTGGAAGAGCGGCGGTCGCAAGCAGCAGTCGAGCTCCAGCTGGGAGAGGCCCGGCCCGCAGAGTGGCAGAAGCCAGGATGCCATGCAGAAGTACAATGAATGGGAAGAGTTTATGGATAAAAAATCCCAGAAATATTGGGGCTCGGATCGATGGCAGCGGGACTATGCCTCTCAGGAGCAACAGCAGTCTTTCAAGAAGAGCAAAGGCAAGAAAAGAAAATTGTGGCTCGCCAGCCAGATTGAGACTCTGAAGCAGGAGGGCAGATGGGTCGGAGGAGCTCCGTCGGAATCCTCCAAGAAGCTTCGTTTGATCCGTGAGGCCTGGGTTAAATTCTGTGGTATCAGGGTATATGCTCCTAGGTAGGAGCCAGCTTCTGCAGATGCTCAGTGCATCTGTTATAACTTAAGTCACATCAGTATGAAGCACATGTTCATTCTGTTTGCAGGCCGAGGCGAAGCAGATTGCAGGCCAAGGAGCCCGTCAGGAGGGCGGTGGTGCAGCTGAGGAGCCAGCTGCAGTGGATGCGGGTCCTGACGAGGCTCAGGAGGAGCCCGGCTCGGTGCATACCTGGCAGAGCTTCCGATCCATGGTGGAAGGCGCCGAGACCATTGAACACGTGATTGGTCTTGATGAAGCCTACAAGCGCCTGAAGAATAACCAAGCGGAAACACAGGCAGAGCAGGCGGCTGCAGATGAAACCCAGGAAGACCCTGAGGATTCTGATGAACTGCGTTGAGGCAGTGTCTGCTGTAGCATAGGTGTCTTCCGCCGGATTGATCTTCCCGCAACGAGACGATAAAAACAAGGACTCCTTGGCAGGAGTCGCCAGCTAGTGTGCATCTGTGTTTGGGTCGGCAGTGCTCGTAGGTTGCAGCTTGTTGGTAGGAGTCGGCAGCTGGTGTGCATCACGTTTGCAGTTTGTTGCTCCTTGGTAGGAGTGGTCCTGCTCCTGGGTAGGAGTTTGTTCACGTGTACACATGCATGTCGTCTAGCGATTGCCAGGTCTTCGCAGCATGGAGGATCAGAACCCAGGCCACTTCCATTTGTGATTCGTGTCCAATTCTCTCTGAGGTCTGTTGTGGGGAGTGATGGGTGAAGATAGATTCTGGTAAGCGACGGAAAATTTTTAACAAGCTTTTTTTTGACAAATTTTTAACTGTTAAAAAAAATGGCTTATGAAAGGAATCCTTTCATAAGCCATTTTTTTAACAGTTAAAAATTTGTTAAAAAAAAGCTTGTTAAAAATTTTCGGGGTCTTCCTAGACCCAGGTGCGGATCCGCAGAGCGACCATTCTCCACCGCATTGGCATCGGCAGCTGTACCCAGCCAGGTTCTTGGATTCAAGTTCGGCAGCAGAGTTTTGACTTTCTGCAGGCCAGCCCTGCCATGCAAAGGCTCGATTGTGGATGAAACAGCAACTGAGCTGGCACATGGGAGGCATGAGGCAGCGACCTGTGCTTCATTTGCCGTTGTTCGCTTTGCAACTGATGAGAAGGCTTTTCACGACCCGGTTGAGTGCATTCGCTCTGTGGTTTCTGTACGATACATTTGATTGCTCCGAGCAGTGCTTCCAAAAGTTCTTGTATGAATGGTATACTCGTTATGTTGGCTATTGGAATGATAGATACTTCCTGAAGTGTCGCTCGGTCTCTGGAAGTGCCATCTCCTTGGCTAGGAGATTAGGTGCTGACATGCATTGGTGGCAAAACGATTATGATTTGGACGAGCTCTGACCTGCCGGCGAAGGCGATGGTGTCTTGCAAAATGAAATAACTTATGCATGCTGTGTGCAACAGTGAACATGTCATGGCACTCGTGTGCCACCGTTCTCGACTCTTCGCATGAATTTTCTGCTGAATCAATGTTTAGATCGAGCTCAGCTCACGATATATGATCGGGTAGCATTCCTGTAGCCTCCCCGGATTGATGGCGCCGGCCCAGAGCAAGGGCGGCAAAGGTCCGCAGAACAGCAAGATGGCCAAGGCCATGGCTGCAAAGAGCAAGGCCGCCAAGGCTAAGGTTAAGCACGAAAAGGTGACCCCCAAGAGGAAAGCCAAGGCTGCCAAGGTGGAGCTCGGTGATGCGGCCGAGGAAGACGATGATTCAACGGCACCGAGCGGCTTGGGGTATGCTCGGGGCACAATTTCAGCTGCTTTGACCGGGCTTCGCTATCAGCTCAAAGCTAAAAAAACTACGGACGAAGAGAAACAAAACGCCCAAAAAGTACTCGAGGACCGCCTGCATCTTGCACTTCCGGCACTTCCGTGCCAGTTGTTTTGATTCTTGTTTTCGTTCCACTCGTGCTCCTTGGCAGGAGTACGAGGCGGGGGACATTGCCACCAAGAGAGAGATATTGAGCAAGGTCTCACAGTTCGGCGTCCGTCAGTGTAATTGGGTACACGATTTGGTCAAGACGACCGTGAATACCAACAGTGAGCACGAAGATACCGTCAAGAACTGGTACACTCGGATTTTCGGTGGCAGTTTTGTCAGATTTTTGCTCTTGTTTGATTGTCTTTTCTATGATTATATTCTCTAGGCTTCGATTATGGAACGGATGATTATATTGAGCATGCATGCACACTGCATGCAGGACGGCAATTTTCAAGCTGGAGGGCATCGATGAAAGCGGCTTGGAGGAAGATATGAAGAAGGATCTGCTGGAAGAGCTGATGTCCGAAGCCGAAAAGCGGTACGGCTATGAGAGATCGACGAAAATTCACCCCAAGTTCGAGGTGCTCAGCAAGTACTTCTACATGCACTCGAAAGGCCAGGTGGCCCGCCAGGCCACTAAGACGGAGGAGTCCCTGGGAAGCCATTGTTCCGGCATGAAGAACTTGCAGTTGAAGGACAAGAGGTCCCTCGACATCATGTTGGGCAAGAGTGCGGCAAGCTCCAGTTCCAAGGATCCGGCTTTGCAGCTGAGCCAGAGCCATACCCTGGCAAAAGATCTTATGAAGAAGATCGTGGCCGAGAAGAGAAAGCTGACCCAAAACAACGAGGAGCTGAAGTCTTTGAAGACCAAGATTTCCACGAAGTACAGCGGGGACAAAACATGGGATAATCGCAAGGACGACGTCGATCAGGCGATCGCAGCTCTCGAGGACTTCTTGGGTGTTCTTCGCCAGCACGAGGCCGAGAGTGTGCCGGCGGATGTTACTTCCGATTGCACCGAGCTTGTGGCCACCTTTCACACTGTCGTCGACCAGGCTGCCAACCACGACAAAGGCAGCAAGGCCTTGCTCAAGAAAGTCAATGGCCTGATGGAGTGATCGGCCCTAGGCTTGAGATTCATCACCCTCGATGATATTATCCGGTAGGAGTACAGGTGTTGTTCCAAGTTCGCCTTGAGACGGAGCTCCTTGGCAGGAGAGGCTGCACTGACCTCGCAGTGGTAGAAAATGCGTGCATGCAATGCTTCTTCTCGCATGTTTGCAGCTATGAGACCCGTGAGTGCTTGCAGACTTTCTGTTGCTTCTTACATTCTGCAGGCTCGGCCCCATGTCGCACAGGCACGTGCGCATAGCTACTTCGATCTAAGTAAATTCATATGCTAAGACAGTGTATGTTTATATAAATATATATATATATATATATATATATATATACTGTATATATGTGAAAACCGCATGTACTTTGGATTAATTTTTGATTGTCCAGACATTGTTCTGTAGGGTTCGCTTCGCTTCGAGACTTGCCGGCAATGTTCAACAAAAGATCTTTGACAACAGAAGATGTCCAGGCCGTTGCTCCTGCAAAACGATTCAGGTCCGAGATGGTCGACATATTTTTAAACAATGAGCTCAGTTCTGAGCGAAGCGCTCGAGTACTGCGGTCAGCACAGCAAGCCGGGGCACTGCATGTGGAAGATTTACAGGTCCGCCCAGAGACTCGCAACACCCATCGGGATCTTTTGCGCAAATGTTTCAGAAACACGAAATGGCCTTCGTTATATCATGCAAAGGTTCGTGGCTGGAATCAGGCGAAGAATACGTCTGAAGAGTATTCCTTGGCAATTTTGCTGCCTCACGAATCCTTGCACTCACTGCTCAAAGTGAACACGCCAGAGGCCTTGCTTCAGCAGCAAGCCGAGATCTTGCCTGACAGGCCTGACCTGGAGAACCACTTGCATTTTTTGGAGGATGAGTTGGGCTTGGATTCTGAATCCACTCTCCTCATGGGGATGTGGTGCGATGGTGTGCCTTTCAACAGCGACCGATCCATGACTTTGGAGACGATTTCTTTGAACATCTTTGGCCAGCAGAATCTTCGCCTGCCTGTTGCGGCCTTTCCAAAAGAATTTGTATCCAAATCGCAAACTTTTGAGGATGTATTCGAAATCATCCAGTGGTCCTTTAAGCAGCTGGCGACGGGGAGCATGCCAAGCTGCCGACACGATGGCATGCCCTTCAATCGAACCGATAGTTATCGACAACGTTTGGCAGGCAGAAAGCTTCCACTGAGAGCTGCTCTGGCTGAATTTCGAGCTGATTGGAGCTGTTACAAGGACGTTTTGAGCTTCCCTTCTTGGAGTTCGAAGGGGTTTATCTGTTGGCGGTGTATGTGCCCCCGAGCTGATTTGAAAAAATTTGATACTCAGACTTTCGCCAAGCATCTGGGATTGATAGATTCAAAGTTTTATATCTTTTGGCATACCCTAGCATGATACAGTCGACTTAAGGAGTCAATTAACCGGCTCGAAATATCGCCACCAGGAAAGAATTGTCTTTTAATTTCGACGTGTGAGGCATGCTAGACAGTTGAAGTCGATCGCTTATTCCTGGCAGTTGCCTTTGCCTCAGGTACCCTCTCATTTCCAGCATGGACTTCTTCATGCGCCAGAGGCAGCAGAATAAATTGGTGTCGAGATTATTTTCTTGCCCAGGATTCAATACGGCTTGCTGCAAGATGGACTTTTTACACGCTTGCGACCTCGGAGTAACATCCGACTGGCTTGGGTCTTTGCTGTTTTACTTACAGAGTGAGAAGATCCGAGGCCTGAGCAAACTCATCCGATGTGCCAAGCTGTACCAAGACATCAAGGCATACTACGACAGAACTGGGGTCCAAGATCGATTGCCGAAGCTCCTTCCCACCATGCTTCGTGAAGAGGATCGAGGCAAGATCAAATCCCCCAAGTTGAGAGCCAAAGCAGGGGAAGCTCGAGCACTCGTCGGTGCTGCCATGGAATTGGCTACAAAGTATTTGTCGCCAGCAAAGCCTGCTGAACAGGCGATGTTGCATGGCACAGAAGCTTTGCAGTCCATATATGCCTGTCTCAGCACTGCAGCTTGGGACAAGGAAGTCTTCAGAGTTTCTTCTCAGAAGTTTCTTTTACTCTGGGGCAGCCTCGAGACTTACTTCGAGGTGGACAAGCTCTTCAGGGTTAAACCTAAAGCCCATCAGCTGTTCGAATTGGCCAGGGGCGAGGTGAACCCTAGCAAGACCTGGACCTACAGGGATGAGAGCTATGGGCATACCCTAGCATTGCTGGGCAGACGGCGTGGTGGCAAGTTTTCGATGAATGCTGTTTCTTGTCAAGTTCTCAGACGATTCCTGGCAGCTAATAAAGTTCCTCGAATCGAGATCGTCCGCATGCATGTATATAATTGGGATGCATATACAGAAAATAACATTTCTTAATTAAGCATTGTTTTTGCCATTTACATACCATGCTTAAATAGACACTATAGTGTTTAATCAAGATGATTAAAGATATCTAAAAATTATTTAAGCATCTTTGGAAGCTCTGGGTTGATCGCAAGGCCAAAGTATAGTGGAAAAGTGCATCTGTTTCTTCAAGTTCCTCACTTTGCAGTTTCTTGGAAGTAAGCACCTCCGGGGCCAGAGTCAACCAATCGATTCTCCACATCCATGCACTATCTGAGACGCGGAGTGCGATGTGGCGGTAACTTGCAAGAGGTATACATATCTCAATATCTATGTCAGCTCTTGGTGAGCAAAGGGATACAGGCAACAGCCAGTACCAAAACCTCACGGATTAAATTGTTAAACAGTTATATATATATATATACATACATACATACATTATATATATATATATATATATAAGATTCTATTATATTGTATTGTATTTTTTTCAATATTATGTCTTGTATTTATGTGTCTTTGTATAGTCAATTAAAAATATAAAATGTATATTAGATATAAATTGTGCAAAAACAAAATTATGTGTATATATTCATTTTATTATAGAACATATTACGTACATTATATTAATATATCATATATATATTTTCATATATATATATATGTACATATTGTCTATTAGATATATTGTGTATGTATGTATATATATATATATATCGTGTTTTTGATATAGACTAGACATATACATTATATTATATTATATTGTATTGTATTGTAATGTATTATATTATATTATATTATATTATATTGTATTGTATTATATTATATTATATTATATTATATTATATTATATTATATATTTTAGCATTGTATATTATATTATTATTATATATTTATATTTTATAAATACTATTATATATTATATTTATATTATATTACATTATATTATATATATTATTATAAATTATATTATTATTATATTAATTATATATATTATATATATGGTATTATATTATATTATATATATTATATTAAGTATTATAGTTATATTATAGTATATTATGTTATATTATATTATATTTAATTATATTATATTATATATTATTATATATTATTTATTTATTATATTATTTTTATATGTTATATTAATTTATTTTTTTTGTTATATATAAAGATTTTAGTCTAGATCAATTCATTTGTATATTGTATATATATATATATATATGCAATATATTTTTTATATATATTATGTTTTTTATAAAGTCAATATTATAAGAATATACTATACATCATATATTACATGTATATATTATATGTACACATTTATATATATTGTATATATAATGTATGGTATATATATATAGATTAATATCGATTGGATATTATTTATATATGTATATATATAGAATATGTCTTTCAGTTTTATTATATATGTTATTTATATGGATATATATTTTAAATGTGTCTTATACATAATATATTCATTATATATATATATTTTATATAATTTCATATATTATGAATACATTGTATTTTCTTTTTTTTTCGATAAAATATTAAACTAATAATAATGTGCATATATTATATCTATGTAATTTTTATAATATTGTTTATTATATACTGTACATTATATAATATAAAAAATGTGTATGGTATATATTCAGTCTTTTTTTAATATTCATATTATATATATATCATATACACAATATATATATATATATATATATCTACTGCATTATATTATATATGTTTTTTTACTAGATATTATTGTATCATGGTGTTATATTACATATATCATATATCATATATATATATATAATAATATATGTATATGATATATATATATATTATTATATGTTTATGTTATTGATATATACCTATTCGAAATATTGTACATGTATTATGTATTGTATTTAAATTCAGTATTCTGTATATCGTACTGTTTATTTATACTCTTCAATATGTTATAATCATACAAACAATGAATACTATAGTATTGCATATCACATGTAATTATGTGTTTTATGTATTGATTTCAGTATCTATATTTATATAATCCTGATATGTATATATATATACATTAGATTTTTTGTTATACATTTTATTCAATTTTTATTTTCATTATTGCTATTATATAATATATATAGATTTACTTATATCATTTTTTGAAATTCCTGTATGTATTGTACATGTCATCCAAAAATAATATATAATATGCCCATGTTATATGTAATATGTCGTTTATAATAATATGTATGGTTTTCATCTACATATTATATTAGTGATACATATCATTTTATTTTTGTCAGTACTGTATATTACAGTATTATACATATTACATAACCTATAATACATATAAACCATGGACATATTATAGACATTTTCCTTTATATAGATATATATATATATATCAATAATCATATTGTGTATATGAGATGTTATTTTATATAGAAAATTCATTGTTTGGAATTATGCATGTTATATGTACTATTTATTGTATATATGTTTCTATATGTTATACAGAAAATGTTTAATATATGTTATATATATATGTTATATATATATGTATATAATACATATGTTACATATATGTTTTATTTATTTTGTATATATTATATATCATAATATATATATATATATATATATATATATATATATATCATATACTTTTATATATGGTTTGTATCGTTTATACATATTGAATATTATATATATATATGTGTATATATATATATATTATCAAATATATTACACATATTAAGTATATTTTACATTATATATACACATACTTGTTTTATTTCATATGTATATAACATAAAATATGACTACATATATGTATTTTACATGTTAGAAATACTATATTATATGCATCTTATATGTATATTTTACATACCTCATGTTGTTCTACAGATATATACATATATATTTATATAATTAACATTGGTTATATTGATTTATCACGTATATGTTGTTTATTCATAGACAAATATATACATATATATATATATATGCTACCCCCCCCCCCCAGGACCTACCTCGAAGCCTCCTGCGATCATACCCTGAACACATCAAAACCAGAATAGACATGTTGAGTATTGCCTAATACTCCTTCCCTACAACGACATAGACACATCAGAAGCGAAATAATTATGTTAATTTTTGCCGAATACCCCGTGTCTACAACGAAATATCACGATATAAACCCATTGAAACCATAATAATCATGCTAAGTATTGCCCAATACCCCTTGTCTACAACGGGTCCTACCTCGAAGCCTCCTGCGATCCTACCCTGAACACATCCAAACCAGAATAGACATGTTAAGTATTGCCTAGTACTCCTTCTCTACAACAACATAAACACATCAGAAGCGAAATAATTTTGTTAAGTATTGCCTAATAACCCTTGTCTACAACGATCTACAACGATATAAACCCATTGAAACCAGAATAATCATGTCAAGTATTGCCTAATACCCCTTGTCTACAACGACATAAACCCTGCAACATTAGAATAATCATGCTAAGTATTGCCTAAGCCTTCTTGGCTACAAAGAAATAAAACCCGTTTAACTCCGGATAGTCATACTAAGTATCTCCAAACGTTTAGACTTAAAACGAGACACATCAAACCAGAATAGACATGTTGAGTATTGCCTAATACTCCTTCCCTACAACGACATAAACGCATAAGAAGCGAAATAATTATGTTAAGTATTGCCGAATACCCCGTGTCTACAACGAAATATCGACGATATAAATCCATTGAAACCATAATAATCATGCTAAGTCTTGCCCAATACCCCTTGTCTACAACGGGTCCTACCTCGAAGCCTCCTGCGATCCTACCCTGAACACATCCAAACCAGAATAGACATGTTAAGTATTGCCTAGTACTCCTTCTCTACGACGACATAAACACATCAGAAGTGAAATAATTATGTTAAGTATTGCCTAATAACCCTTGTCTACAACGATCTACAACGATATAAACCCATTGAAACCAGAATAATCATGTCAAGTATTGCCCAATACCCCTTGTCTACAACGACATAAACCCTGCAACATTAGAATAATCATGCTAAGTATTGCCTAAGCCTTCTGGGCTACAAAGAACTAGAACCCGTTTAATTCCGGATAGTCATACTAAGTATCTCCAAAACGTCTAGACTTAAAACGAGACACATCAAACCAGAATATACATGTTAAGTATTAAGTATTGCCTAATACTCCTTCCCTACAACGACATAAACACATAAGAAGCGAAATAATTATGTTAAGTATTGCCGAATACCCCGTGTCTACAACGAAATATCGACGATATAAACCCATTGAAACCATAATAATCATGCTAAGTCTTGCCCAATACCCCTTGTCTACAACGGGTCCTACCTCGAAGCCTCCTGCGATCCTACCCTGAACACATCAAAACCAGAATAGACATGTTAAGTATTGCCTAGTACTCCTTCTTTACAACGACATAAACACACCAGAAGTGAAATAATTATGTTACGTATTGCCTAATAACCCTTGTCTACAGGGATCTACAACGATATAAACCCATTGAAACCAGAATAATCATGTCAAGTATTGCCCAATACCCCTTGTCTACAACGACATAAACCCTGCAACATTAGAATAATCATGCTAAGTATTGCCTAAGCCTTCTGGGCTACAAAGAACTAGAACCCGTTTAATTCCGGATGGTCATACTAAGTATTTCCAAACGTCTAGAGGAAAACTGAAATATGTCCGTGTTGCGACCAGCCAAGGCACCTGGAATGGGAGGGAGCTTGTATTATACATATTACATACTGCAAGGATGACACGCACAAATCAATTAGGGAAACACCTGCGCATACCGCTTTTCCTCCTCCTAACAACATCGTCACGTGTGAAACATCCTTCAGTGCTTTGTCAGCACCAGACGTACTTCGTCATGCTCTGCATGATACGGACACATCTTCCATATCTGGTTGAGGCTATAAACATCCAAAGTAGCAGGACTGCCACTTTGGCACTCATTGCATTCGC